CCGATTTTTCCGGGGACTGGCGGCGACGGCGTTGCACCACGGCCTTTGCGGTTGGGCTGATGGACAGCTGGTGGCAGGCGACCTCAGGGTCGAGTCCCGGCATTTCCGCGGCGCTCCAGGCGAAGAGGTCGGCATTCTCGCGGAGGCAGGCTTGGAGCTGTCGTTTCGCGAGGTCGGGGAGTCCTGCGCCTACCCTCACGGTTCTGGTCGTGTCGTCCCCGAGGGGAATGAGCTCGAAATCGCCATCCGGGATGGGGCGCGCTGGATGCTCGTTGGCTGCGTCCGTCTTTTTGTTGTCGAGCTCGTCGGTGAAGCGACTGTCGAGCTCCACTGATCCGACCAGCTCTGTTGGTTTGTCCTTTGGCGTAGCGCTCGGTGCTTTCTTTTTGGTCGGTGGAGCGATGGAGTCGAAGCCTTTCAGCGCGGCTTCAAAACACCTTCGGGCAGCTTCGATGTCGCCGTTGAGGGTGACCACGGCTCCCCTTCTCGTGTAATATTTCATCTTCAGGTGGGCGGTGGAGGGTACCGCGGTGAGTTCTGCTATCGTTGTCCTGCCCAGGATGCAGTTATACAGGGACGGGCATTCGATGACTAAGAAGCGGACGCTGATGTCTCTGGCCGTTTCCTCTTCCCCAAAGGTGACTTTCAGTTCCACGTATCCCCAGGGTCTCGTCGTCGTCCCGTTGAACCCCTGGAGGTCGGAGCCTACGTAGGGGGAGAGGTTGGATTCGTTGAGCTGGAGAGTTGTGAACAAATGTGAGTACATTATGTCAACCGAGCTCCCTCCGTCGACGAGGAGGCGCCTGACGTCGAAGTTTGCCATACGCGCGCGTACGAGCAAGGGTATGTTGGAATTGGGAGATCCCCCGGGTAGTTCCTCGAGGTAGAATGTGATCGGGTTGGAGCGGCCTCGGAATCTGTCGAGCGTGCTCATCTTGCCGGAGTTGCCAGCGATGAGTTCGTCGAATTTTCTTTTCACAGATCCTATGGACAGACTCCTCGTAGCTCCATCAGAGATGACCATGGCTCTGGGGAAGTATTCCCATCGGCTGGTTGGTCGGATTGGCTCGCCGACTAAGCTGGGCGCTTCGGGAATGCTGAATCCTCTGCTTGCGAACCAATCTTCGGGGCGACTGACGCACAGCGCGACCTGGAGTCTCTCGCCGTCCTCTGGGGAGGGGAGCTCCTCGATTTTCTTTGCCTCCGGAGCCTCCGACCTGGGTGGTTCACCTCCCCGGGTATATCGCTTTAAGTGCCCATCTTTGATTAGGATTTCGATCGCGTCTTTGAGATGGATGCAGTCCTCCGTCACATGCCCGTGGGTCCTGTGGAACCGGCAGTACTTTGACTTGTCCACGTTGGGTTTGGGCGGCGTTGGTCGTGGAAAACGGACACCTCCCTGCACAAACTCGGTTTTAGCGCATTCGGCCAGTATGCGTTCGCGCGAAGCGACCAAGGCGGTGTACTCGGTGAACCTTCCTGCCGGGCCGCGTGACTCGCGCTGCTCTCGGGGTTCGCGGTGGCGGTCATCTCGACGGCGGTCCCCTCCTCGTCGGTGGCTCGAAGCTCCGTCGTCTCGGTGCCCGCGGGGGGCTTCTCTGTCTCGGGTGTCGCGAGCGGAGTTGGCCGCTTGTGTTTCCTCGAACCGGATGTAATGGGCGGCCCTGTCGAGGAAGTCTTGGAGGGACGTGGGCCGGTGTATGCCTACGGCCTCGTAGAATTTGGAGTCGTGGCGCAGGCCTTGCTCCATTAGGTAGCGTTTCATTTCGTCGGAAGTCGTCACCTGTACGGCTTCCCGAGTAAACCTTTCGATGTATTTCCGGAGGGGTTCGTCGGGGCCTTGGATGATCGCCCCGAGGACTGCTTCCGTCTTCGGGTGACGCCGGGACGCTGTGAAGTGTTTGGAGAATAGGTCCTTCAAGACCCTCCACGATGTAACTGATTCGGGCTCCAGGCTTTTGTACCAGGTCATAGCGCCCTTCCTCAGAGTCGTCGGGAAGAGTCTGCATTTAATAGCTCCCCGGACATTGCGGTAGTCGAGCATAGCCTCGATGTCTTCCAGATGATCGTCCGGGTCGGAGGTGCCGTCGTACGTTGACAGCGTCGGTGGCTTCTCCATTCCTTGGGGTATAGGGGCTGCCATGATCTCCCGGGATAGTGGGGTGCGATAGTCATCCTCGTCGCTGTGCGCTGGGGATCTCAGGGGAGATGAACCGGCCGCGGCGTGTCCCGGGTTTCGGGTTCTCGATCTCCGGCCTGAGTTCCCGGCTCGGGTTTCCTCGGTTGGGGTCGCCGCGGCGTTCTGGTTCCTCCCGCGACCATGTCTTGCCGGGGATCTGGTGCGCTCCCGTGTCGCTTGGGGGCGGCGTCTCTCCACCCGCGGTCGGCGGTTCCTGGGTCGAGGTGAGGGGCTCCTCGAACCTCCGTTCTGGTCATCCCGCTGGGGGTACCTCGGGGAGCCGCCGCGTTCCAATGCTCCAATTCTAGCGTTCTGTTGGGACAGCAGCTGGTTCGTCTGGTTGATGGCTGCAAAGAGAGCGGCTACCGTTGGGTCCGCTCCCGCCGGGATGGGAACGGGGTGGAATGCCGGCGGGCTCGGGGGGCGATGGTCGGCATGCAGGGGCCGTTCCTCGGACGATGGTGAGGCAGTTTGCCCGTCTCTTTCGTCGGCTTCATTCAGGCGCGCCGTTCCTACCTGCTTCCCGTTGGTGGCAGTGTTGAGCGCGAGATCGTGCGGAGTGTCATCGCGGCGTGGGCTGGCCATGACCGTGGAGGTTTGGTGAAACTTTTGGTTTTTCTGCTCGGAGTAACGGGGAAGTTTCAGTTCCCACAGACGGCGCCACTGATCTGACCTGATCAGGAGGGATCACGGACTGGCCACGCTTCGCCGGACGGTTATCTGTTCGCCGAGGTAAGAACGAGGAGGGGGTGTACCTGCAAAGCACTCCGACGCCCAAGTAAGAAGTTGGACAGAGAGGAAGCAATAGTACAGAAAAGGGGGCAAGAAGAGTTACCTGACCCTCTTGAAGAAGAGGGTATTTATAGAGAGACCCCAGCGCTGGGCCAACGGTCATTCGAGGTGGGCCAGACGACCAGGCCCAACCCTAATGACTGCTAGGGCTTACGTGGCGTAGTGAAGACCAGGACGTGATCTTCGCCCTAGTTCAACCGCTCCTAGGTCTCCGGAAAGTGGATTTGACCTGCTCTTTCGGAGGTGGGCGGTTGGCCGATGACGTGTCCCCGCGGAGGGGAGCACGTGGAGAACGTGCGCCGAGCACGTTATTCTCCCGCGGAGGGAGCCCGGGTAGTCTCGCTCGTCTGGTGTGACGGACGACGAAGGGGATGCGGCGTGATGGCTTGTGCCCGGCGGACGGTCCTGCTCGTCCGAAGGGGCGTGTGCCAGGTGTGCTCAGTTCGCCTGTTGGGCCGTATTTGGTATTGGGCCTGCCGAGGTGAGGCCCACACCGGAACAAAATCAAAAGAGAAACAACATTCAATCCCAACCAAAATAAGACCTTGTCAAAACACTAAAATAAGGTATTAAGGTGTAATATATAACTTTAACTTTAAAAATGTGATTTCTTTTTATACTTTTAAAAATGATTTTTATAAAAATATTTTTTAAAATATTAATTTTTTAAATATCAATTTTAATTAATTAAAAGAATAATTTTGACCATCTATAACATAAATGTACATTAATAATGATTAAAATATAGCAATTAAAATTTAAAAATATATATTTTAAAATCAATTTTTTTATTTGTGAAAATTTATTTAAAATAACTTCAATTTTAAGTAATGTTTTTAAATTTTAATATTAAAAGAATTTATAATAAAATACCTAAAATAACTTTTTAAAAATAATTATTTAAATTAATTATTTATTTAATTAAAAAAATCTATATAATTTTTTTAAACAAATATATGTAACATAATAAAAATAATTTTAAATTCTCTTTGAAACAAACGTACGCATTTTCAAAACTAGTCCAGTAATTATGCATACTCTTTTTTCACCATTCAAAACTATAAGAGAGTTGCTATTTAACACAAAATGTGCAACCAAAAATTGTGCCTTCATATATTACGAGAAACTTATGAAGCATAAACTTTGAGAAGGATATTGAGACGTTACGCGACACAATCACTCTAACCTGTAAAAATTTGAGAAGGATATTGAGATGTTACGTGACACAATACAGTTGCTCTAACTCCTAAAAAATACAGGACACCGAAAATATTATATATATATATATATATATATATATATATATATATATATATATATATATATATATATATATATATATATATATATATATATATATATATATATATATATATATATATATATATATATATATATATTTATATAGAAAAGAAGATGATATATTGATAGTGTGATTTTTTTTACACTATTAATCAATAAAAGTAATGCATTTTATCAAATTATATTAAAAATTTTAAATTAATTATATAATATGATAGGATGATATATTTTTATTAAATAACTGTAAAATATTTGTACACTATCAATGTATAAAATTAAACTTATTATATTTGAGCTTCTTTTTTATCTAACTATTATTATATTCTAAAACATAAGTAAAAAATGAGATATGTTGATAAGACCACAAATCAGCAGACTATAGTTTGATATATATGGGTAAAAATTGTTTATACATTTAACTATGTTTGTCTGACTTTCAATCAAAATATTTTACAAAATTTTATCGGATGGAAAATAAAAAAGTTAGATACTAAGAATCATGCGATAATTGTAATTGAAAACGAAGATTAAAGAGAACATGCATTTCATAGATTTTTCCAAATAAACCTGAATTTCATAATAATGAAACACAATAAATTGACAAGAGACAGCCATTAATTTAACTCCAAACAAAGTAAAAACTGAGACCATTGAGTTTTCAGCTTCCTACTACAGAGATTCCTAATAAGAACCAAGGTCTTTCATAATTTCAAGAACAAACTTTCTTCTAATCCACCCACTGCTTTCCAGTCTTCACAAAATGGTAATGGTCACAATGGCTAACCTTCAAATTCTCCAACCAATCATCAGCAGCCTTCAAAAGCGAGTTCAATCGGGGCGATTCAGACGCTGCCGGAAAAGGCAAAATTGACCCTTTCACCTTATAAGTTGTTAGGCCAAAAACCCTAAGACGAGTTTTCAACAACTTTTTGTCACTGTCACTGATCTCTGGCCGAGTTTTCCCTGTGACAAAGTAAGGTAAGCAAAATGAGAATTTAACTTTTATTTTTACTTTTATTTGGAAGTCCGAATGAAAATGAAAGAGATGGATATACTTTTAAACTGAGTTGATAGTTTATGATAGGTAAGAAATGAAGCTTCTATGTCCTTCAACGTTGGTCCATTAGGAATACGGTAAATCGGATACCTGAACACAAGTTCTATTCGTCAGACACTATAACAACAGCAATTAAATTTTATCAGATTCTGGCGTAATGCTAAACACTTAATGAAGAAAAGTTAAAGAATAAAATGACACTACCAAGCCACAGAAAACCAACTGCGGGGCGATATTTCAGAGCTCTTCAAATTCTTTATACAAGGATCTTCTTTAGCAAGATCCGAAACCTGAGAAGAAAATGAAATTATTAACTTCAAACCGGAAAAAGTGAGTGATATAACGTTGGGTTTGTACGAAAAAGAAAAGGACTCGCCTTTTTAGTGAGAGGAAGACGCACGTATGGCGAATGAGTCTCAAAATATTCATACAAAACCTTATGAGTAGTCTCCTTTGAAGACACAGAATCCCCAGTTTTCTCACTGGACTTCTGGCTAAAATTTCACAACAGCAAAAACCACATGTTTTAAGCATTACAATGGTGGCAAAATAGTGTCTTAAATTACTGAAACATGTTAGAATAAATGGAAGAATGAAAATTTAACTCACTCCAGTTCTTCATCCGCAGCATATAGTTGAATTGCAGACAGATATGGGACGAAGTATTGCAAGACTGGTTCATCGGAGTTCAGATTGAACTTGACCTCAACTCCATAGGCACTCCATTTTTTGAAAGACTCCCACAAGTCTTCAAGAACGAAGTATGACTTCTCCCCAGAATCAGAAGTTTTGCTTCCTTTGCTCTCACTCTGTGAAATTCAAAGTCAAAACAAATATTAATTAACCAGTAACAGAAAAGAAATTATAAAAAAAAAGCATCCTCAAGTAATTAAAATAAATAATTCAACAAAACTTCATGACTAAGGACCATTTTTTACGGGTTATTTTTGAAATAAAATATATCTCTTGGGAATTTTTATTACATTTTTTAAATATAAAATAAGAGTTTCACAAAATGAATCTAAGACTCATTTAAAATAAGACGTTGTTTTGTTCTCTTGGAAATGATGATAACTTTTTTTTCTTTCAAAAAGTAATTTTTCATTATTGTTAATAAATATAAATTAATTTCAGATTTTTAAAAATTTGACCATTAAATTATTGAATAATATAATTGTTTTATTATAATATGTAACAAATGTGTTCTAAAATTGCTAGTCTAATAAAAATACATTATACGATTTTAATCACAAACTGTGAGAACAATTCACGTGAAAATTGAATAATTCGAGTGAATTGTTTTAAATGCAAAAATAAATTTTAAAAAAAAGACAAAAATGATTAAAAGAATATATTTTAACACTTCAATGAGATTTCTTTTAACAAAGTTGAAAATTGAAAATTGATCGTATAATGAAAATCCAACTTTAGACAATTTTAATCACAAAAACCCAGGGAACAAGTCACATGAAAAATAAATGAACTATAGTCAATTGTTTTAAATGTTAAAAAAAAGCATAAATACATAAAATTATAAGAACCAACACCTCGGATGAAAATTTAACATCGACGAAAGGAGTGAGTGAGGATAAGAGACTATTCAGATTATTCAAACTATCACGACTCGATGAGATTTGCTCGGACAAATTTGACATGATTGGAATAGTGAATAGTTTGTAGAATAATAATAGTGATTGAAGAAAGAAAGAAATGATAAAAGTAGAGAGAGTAAATGTTGCAAATTTGGATTTTAAAAAAAAAGAAGCATATGCACAAATAAAGATTTATGTGTTGTGTTTTGTAATGAAGAGTGGAGTGTGAATTTATAGAAGTAAAATGAGGGATCTAAATATTTATTTTCATAAATTTGATGTTTTGATAGGTTTTTATTTTACTTTTTTATTTATATTTTTTGAATAATTTTAATACTTGTAACTTCTATGTGATATTTTTATCAGTATTATTTTAATAAAAATAAGTCAAAGAAAATAATATTTAATAAAATATTGATATTTTGACACAAAAATTAAAACTCTTTAAAAACACGGTAAATCTGTTTGTTATGAGTTTTTTTAATAGGGTTTTTACAACTCTTGCGCAATATAATGTGAAAATGACTCAAGAACATTTATAAAAGCATTATCCTTCTTTGATTCAGTTTCAATATTTTTTCGAAAATCCTTAGGTAATATGTGACGCCAACTGCAATTGAGGATAAATCTTTTAGACAACAACCTTTGAATGTTAACCTCACAGTCGATACAACCAAGAGGTAATTTTTGGATTCATCTTAAGACCATTGATATGCATATGTATAAGAAGACTTATCTTCAGTGAGGTGGGCATATTGGTGCCTTTACCTAGAGGTTACAAATATCCCAACTTTGCTACATTTTTTTAGGAAAGATGGCAAGTCAACTATAAAGTATATTGAGAGATTTATTACTTGGTGCGGTGAGAGAAATCATAATGAATTCAATAAAATGCAATTTTTTCCTTTATCGTTGACACTAAGAATGTTTTCATGACATTCTCCCCTTTCACCAAACTCGAAACAAACATTGACATACATGAAAAGGTGTTTTAGTGATAGGTTTTAGAGTCATTAGCATGAGGTAAAAATAGTCGATATGATGAACCTTAAGCAATAGGTGTATGAACTAGCAGCAAGCTTCATTAAGGTTCAAAAATAAGGAAAACATGCACTTAGTCCACTTTCATGGAGATAAATATGCATAAATGGTTGTCACTAACATGCAACTAATGTTTGTTACTATGGAACCCACAACATAAATAGAAACGACTGGACATGTCTATCACGATCTGAATGAAATAACTTCTAGAGTAACGCACATTGGGAAAATCATTTAGGAAAAAGAAAAGAAGTGTGTTAGCTGTCGCGACGCAAAAAATACCCGAGTATATGAATGCTTGAAATAACAACAGAGTTGCCACCGAAATTTATTTTTAGAAGGGAAAACCTCGATAAAACCCTAAAAGAAATAAAAACATGGCCGTCGTAACCAAATCCAGGTCCAGAAGTCGATTATCATGGGGGAAGGTATTATGATGCTTGACAAGATGCGAATCTTGCTCCTACGCATCCTCCGACGTGATGAGAAATTTAAAGCTACATAGTTCTTGGTAACAAATGTTTGTTGATTAGTTTGTTTTAGTGAATGATGTTTAGGTCAAATTTGAGCGGTTAAACATTTCTTGTTGCTTGCGCATGGGAGGTTGAAGCGTTTGTTTGTATTGCACATTAGAATGGATTCTGTTCTGAATGCATTCGAGCGGTTAACCATTTCTTATTTCTCGTATATGGGAGCTAAAAGCATTTGTTTATCTATCGTGTCTGAATGGATAAAACATCATTCGTCTGCGAAAAAGTTTGTTCTTCGCGAATAGGTAAAAACTGGATTTGATGAGTTGAAGTTATATTTAGGTGGAAGATGAGTATTCTAAAGGCAAGCTATACAACATGCATCCAAATACTCGGGGAAAAGAGGGATATACGTCCAACTAGACCTTTTCATCTGATTCAATTATGAAAATGTTTGATATGAATCGAATTAAATTTCATATTTTTAAAATTTGACCATTAAATTATTGAATAATATAATTGCTTTTTTATAATATGTTACAAATGTGTTCTAAAATTGCTAGTCTAATAAAAACTTAACATTATATGATTTTAATCACAAACCGTGGGAACAATTCATGTAAATTGAATAACTCGAGTAAATTGTTTTAAATGCAAAAATAAATTAAAAAAAGAAAAAAAATTATTAAAATTAAAAAGAATAAATTTTAACACTTCATATGAAAATTTAACATTGACGAAAGGGGTGAATGAGGATAACAGACTACTAAGATTATTCACACTATCAAGACTCAATGAGATTTGTTCTAAAAAGTTTGAAAATTGCTCGTATAATGAAAATCCAACTTTATACTACCTCCGTTTTTTATTATAAGTCGCTCTGGGGAAAGTTGTACCAATATATAAGTCATTTTATAATATCAATGAATCATTAATGTTATTTTTTTCTATTATATCCTTAAATATTAATTATCCTCTCTCCTTTCAGTTATGTAAATTTGTTTTTTCAATACCATTTATAAAGGATAATTTTGTAAAATCCTTCATAACTTATCTTTTCCATACTACAATTATTACATTTCTTAATACGCGTGAAAAGTCAAAAACGACTTATAATAAAAAACAGAGAGAGTACAATTTTAATCACAAAAACTGAGGGAACAAGTCACATGAAAAATGAATGCACTATAGTCAATTGTTTTAAATGTTTAAAAAAAAGCATATATAAATAAAATTATAAGAATCAACTTTAACACATCGGATAAAAACTTAACATTGACGATAGGAATTAGTGACGATAAGAGACAATTCAAATTATTCACACTATCATGACTCGATGAGATCTGCTCAGACAAATTTGACATGATTGGAATAGTGAATAATTTGTAGAATAATAATAGTGTTTGCCGAGTGATTGAAGAAAGAAAGAAATGATAAAAGTAGAGAGGGTGAATGTTTTAAATATGGATTAAAAAAAGAAGAAGAAGCATAAGCACAAGTAAAGATTTATGTGTTGTGTTTTGTAATGAAGAGTGGGGCGTGTGAATCTATAGAAGTAAAATGAGGGATCTAAATATTTATTTTCAGAAATTTGATGTTTTGATAGGTTTTTATTTATGTTTTTTTTTGAATAATTTTAATACTTGTAACTTCTGTGGTTTTTTTGTCAATATTATTTTAATAAAAATAAGTCAAAGAAAATAATATTTAATAAATTATTGATATTTTGACACAAAAATTAAAACTCTTTAGAAACACGGTGACTCTGTTTGTTATGAGATTTTTTAATAGGGTTTTAACAACTCTTGCGCGATATAATGTAGAAGTGACCCAAGAGCATTTATAAAAACATTATCCTCCTTTGGTTCAGTTTCAATATTTTTTTGAAAATCCCTAGGTAATATGTGACGCCAATCGCAATTGAGGATAAATCTTTTGGACAACAACCTTTCAATGTTAACCTCACAGTCGATACAACCAAGAGGTAATTTTTAGATTCATCTTAAGACCATTGATATGCATATATATATAAGAAGACTTATCTTCAGTGAGGTGGGCATATTGGTGCCTTTACCTAGAGGTTACAAATCTCCTGACTTTGCTACCTTTTTTTAGGAAAGATGACAAGTCAACTATGAAGCATATTGAGAGATTTATTATGTGGTGGGGTGAGAGAAATCATAATGAATTCAATAAAATGCAATTGTTTCCTTTATCGTTGACACTAAGAATGTTTTCATGACATTCTCCCCTTTCACCAAACTCGATACAAACATTAACATGCATGAAAAGGTGTTTTAATGATAGGCTTTAGAGTCATTAGCATGAGGTAAGAATAGTCAATATGATGAACCTTAAGCAAAGGTGTATGAATTGGCAGAAGACTTCATTGAGGTTCAAAAATAAGGAAAACATGCACTTAGTCCACTTTCATGGAGATAAATATGCATAAATGGTTGTCACTGACATGCAACTAATTATTGTTACTATGGAACCCACAACAAAAATAGAAACGACTAGACATGTCTATCAAGATATGAATAAAATAACTTCTAGAGTAACACACATTGAGAAAATCATTTAGGAAAAAGAAAAGAGGTGTGCTAGCTGTCGCGACATAAAACAATATCCGAGCATATGAACGCTCAAAATAAAAACAGAGTTGCCACTGAAGTTTATTTTTAAAAGGGAAAACCTCGATAAAACCCTAAAAGAAAAAAAAAATATGGTCGTCACAATCAAATTTAGGTCCAGAAGTCGATTATCGTGGGGGAAGATATTATGGTGCTTGACAAGAGGGATATCCAACTAGACATTTTCATCCGATTTAATTATGAAAATGTTTGATATGACTCGAATTAAATTTCAGATTTTAAAAATTTGACCATTAAATTATTGAATAATGTAATTTATTTTTTATAATATGTAACAAATGTGTTCTAAAATTGATAGTCTAATAAAAACTCAACATTATATGATTTTAATCATAGACCGTGGGAATAATTCACGTGAAAATTTAATAACTCGAGTCAATTGTTTTAAATGCAATACTTTGAATTTTTTAATGTAAAGAAAGGTTTCTTGGTGAAAAAGAAAGAAAATATGTGATGTTATATGATATGGTAGCATTCACATGAAAACAATGAGATGCTCTTATGATTTTGTCTTAAGTTTCAAAAAATTGATTTTTTGTTGACTTTTGATTTATGATACATGATGATGATTATGTAATGACAAGATGATGATTAAATGAGAATTGGATTTTTTATTTCTATTTTTGTTCTTTCTTTTGTGTTATTTTGACTCTTTTTTTTTTAATATGTGTACATGATGCATAATGTATGATGATGATGAATTAAGGGATAACATTAAACTTTTTAAATCTTTTGAATTTGATCTTTATTCATTTTGTTGAATTTTGTATTTGAATTTTTAAATGATGCCAAAATTCATATGATGAATGAAATGAATAGAGTGGATGATGCATATGACCACAAGATGTGAATAGAAAAAAGTTGACTTTTTATTGGGTTTTGACTCTTTTTATTTTTA